GAGTCTCGCTCTGCCACCCAGACTGCAGTGTGATGGCACAATCTCGGCTCACTGCAACCTCTGTCTCCTGGATTCAAGTGATTCTCCTGCCTCAGCCTCCTGAGCAGCTGGGACTACAGGCACCTGCCACCACGCCTGGCTAATTTTTGCATTTTTATTAGAGATGGGGTTTCTCCATGTTGGCTAGGCTGGTCTCAAACTCCTGACCTCAAATGATCCACCCACCTCGCCCTCCCAAAGTGCTGGGATTACAGGCGTGGGCCACTGCACCAGGCCAGCCATTACTTCTTGAGTACTTTTTTTAGTTGTACCCTCTTTCTCATTTCTTCCAGGATTCTGATTACATGAATTTTAGATCTTTTCATCTAGTTCCACAGGTCCGTGTGGCTTTTTTCATTTTCTTCAAACTGTTTTCTCTCTGTTTTTCAGATGGAGTGATTTTTAATTATTCTATTTTCAGGTTCACTTGTTCTTTCCTCTGTCCCCTCCATTCTACTGTTTACTCCATTTACTGAGGTTTTTTTTTACTTTGGTTATTATGTTTTTCAGGTTTAAACATTCCATTTAGCTCTTCTTTATATTTTCTGTTTCTTTACTAATACTTTCTACTTTTTTGCTTTGTTTCAAGTGTGTTCTTAATTACTTGTTGAAGCATTTCTATGATGGCTGCTTTAAAGCCTTTGTCAGATAATGTTAACATCTGTCATCTTTGTATTGGCATCTGTTGATTGTCTTTTTTAAAATCAGTTTGAGATTTTTCTGATTCTTGGTATCATGCGTGATTTTCAATTGATACCTCGATATCTCATATTATTTTATAGGCTCTGGATCTTATTTAAGTCTTCAGTCTTAGCTGGTTTTCTCTGACCCTGCTCCTACACAGGACGGGTGGGGGACTGTTACTTCTTTATTGCCAGGTAGAAGTAGAAGTCCAGCTTCTCCACTTGGCCTCCATTCACACTTGAAGGAGTGGATATTTCTCACTACTGCTGGTCAGGGGTGGGAGTTCTGCCTCCCCACATGGTTTCTGCTGATATCATGGTGGGGATAGCCTTGTTACTACTACATAATGGTGAAAGTCCTGCCTCTTTACTAGGTCTCTACTCTAGTGGAAAGGGAGAAGGACATCTCATTGCTTCCAGGTGAAGAGTAGGTTTCCCATGTAGTTTCCATTGACATTGGTTTACATTGGGGAGGTGAAGGTGGGACCCAGGGATGTGGATACAGGCCTACAAGGATAAAAGTCCCTGATCTCTACATGGCCTCCTCTGACACCACCCAGTAGAGGTGCTGGGGGGCCTTGTTACAGCTTTGCCTTCAAAAGCATGAAAGTCTCAGCTTCTCCCTCAACCTTTGCTGGTGTGGGTGGGACCACAGTTTTTTCTGTAGTGTTTGATTGGAGCAGAACAGTTATTGTCTTCAAAGTTTTCTGTCTTGCTGGGCTGTCCCTTTCCTAGTCTTTTGGCTAGTGAGAGCAGGCTTTTATTCAGGCTCCTCCTTCTCCTTCTTCTTCTCCTCCTGTCTGAACCCATTGGCATCTCTGGGTTGCTGCTCCAAGCCTTGGATATATGACACCATAAGAAAATCGAGGGAATGCACCACCATGTTTTCCTCAGCCCAGGTCCACAGCCTGTCTGCCGTCTTCGTATCTTTCCTAGTGTTCTAATGTCTGTTTTATAGACAATGTCCAGAGTTCTTAGCTGTATTTAGGAGGAGGAATAGGGAGAAGTATAGCTCCTCTGTTTTCCTGGAGTGGAATTCTCTGCCTCTCTGATTTTAAACAAGCCAAACTCACAAGAGGGCAAGCAGAAAGCAATTTTATTCTTTCTCACAACTATCTCTTTCAAATTGGCCTGTGGCCTCATTCTTCTAGATGAAATTTTAGGCAGATTCATAGCCTTTTCAATCCCTTTCAGTTATAAATATGTGCATGTATGTTTGTTTGTATTAACATCAATCTTCTGAACTCTTGTCTAATCTAATCTTTTGCCCTCCCAAACTTGGACCTATCTCAGGGCCTATCTATATCTATGGTAGAAAGAGGGGGTCTTGGGAGTCTTGGTTAACTTCTTTACTATTTCCCCTCCTTACTCTTTTCTCCTCCCCTGTCTGCCTCTTTCTTTTCTATTTATTTTTAGAGCTAGACACTCGCTATATTGCCCAGGCTAGACTCAAATCCTAGGCTCAAGTGATCCTCTTGCCTCAGCTTCGTAAGTAGCTGGGACTACAGCACTCAGCTCCCCTTTATTTTCTGTATTACATCTGGCTCCACTAGTGTTGAAGTGAGGGAGATCAAGGAGAAATACGGGGCAGGAAAAGATCCTGTGTCTGTTATAGTTTTAATCAGGTGTTGGAGCTCTCCAGATGTAGCCAAAGGCTAACTCTTTTCCATGGGGCCCATTTGTGGATTTTTCAGTTCTTCCCATTTCTGGTTATTATTTAGAATCAGAATACCAATAATTAAAAAGAAATAGCATTTCAAGCAAGGGAATATCTGTTCTGGTTTGGAAAAAAATCTATTTCACACACATTTTCGGTTTTAGAAAGAATATTTTTGTTTAGAAGGAATATTTAAAAGTTTATATTTAGAATGCTGTCAAAAGTTCCAAATTATTTGTTAAATATTTAGATGATTTTATAGAAAAGGAGCATTTCAAATAAAACTCAAGCATAAAATAAAGAATACCAATTAGTCAATAATACCAATTAAAGCATTAAAAAAAGAATACCAGTTAAGCAACCAACACGCCTGTTGGGCTGTGAACTGCCCATGCCCATTTCTGCCTACATTTTTTGCTCACATCATTCACTGGCTGAAATGCCTTCCCCTTCCTCTAGCCAAATCCTGCTTTTCCTTCGAGTCCCAAGTAGCACCTCTTCATGAAAGCCTCCCATAACTACCCCAACCCACTTCTCTTTTTCCTCTCACTTTTAGCTATTGACTCCTGCCTCACGAAGGCTGGTGCTGTCTCTACAGTGAATATTGTGCACCTCAGGGTAGAATGGAGAGCACGAGGCTTCAAATCAGGCAGTCCGGGTTCAGACCCCAATTCCAGTGCTAAAGAGCTGCGTGACTTTAGGCCGATTGCGTGTGACTTCCCTGAGCCCCAGTCTCTTTGCCTGCAAAATGAGAAAACTGATAACAATCTCATCAGTTGTTCTGAGGATTCTGAGAGGAATTAGTAGGAGAGGGAACTGAGAAGCTGCAGGCATCTACAAAGCTATTCAACTGGCATTTAGGAAGATGTTGCCCGTCAGAGTCAGACCTTCTCAGCATCTTCCGGCTGGGCCCAAACTTTCCAAGACCATTTGGACAAGGTCATCTCTATCCCACCCTGGCCTCCTCCCGGAGGAGAAGAATCATGCTGTTACAGAAAAACTGACGATTTGGGCAAGAGAGCTAATGATTATGTTCTGCATCGGGTCAGAGATGGGCTGGGAAAACCACTCCAAAGCCAAGATAAGCAGTGTCCTGGAAAAAGAAGGCTGCATGGAGCCCAGAGTGGCCTGGATCCTGCCTCATTTCCTGGACCAGCTCCTTAGGTGGTTACTGGATGGCCAATGAAGCAGAGCTTATTAAAGTCAACGAACTCAGGCTTCATCGCTGCCCTGGTATCCAAGCACCAGTCTGCCTGGGATTTCATTTGCCTGATGGACAAAGGAGAGGATGTTCCAATACATATCCTGAGTGGTGGGAGTGGGGAGAGAAGGGGAAGAATGCTCTCTAGAGATTTCTCTTTGTCCTCTGAAGTAAATAGAGGTCATGTCTTCCCTAACCACACTCAGTGATCTGAATCTCTTGGACTGTGGATTTTTCCTTTACCTGCTGTGAAGTCTTGAAAAGTATGAATTAGCTAGATAATGATCCTCTAAAGATGTACAAGAGTTAAAGATGTGTTTAAGTTCTTCAAGCAATCCAATATGACTACAGGTTTCCAAAAATTTGAAGGAAACTGAAAGTCACAGTTCCCAAACCAGATATTTTCCGGTGTCCAGATGTTCAGTGGCATGCAAACCAAATGTCTGGATTATGAGCTCGTTTTTTCATTTCTTTTTTTTTTTCCAGCTTACATCCAGATGTTGGGTCCAACTGGTCAGAGGACTGGGGCAGAGATAGAAATAAAATCTAGGGTGTTCATCTAGAGTCTCCTGCTTCTCTAATCCTGCTCCCTCTTCACGCTGCTCCCCACATCCTCCCCAACTCAGCTTCATGCTACATCTTGGCAAATATAGCTCATATCCAGACACAGTGCTGCCCTTGACAGCTGGGTCCACAAAGGCAGGTCGGGTATATCTTTAAAGAAAAGTTATCTTAACCATTCAGAAGCCTTCCTTCCTCAGAGGAGAGCACCTCCCCAGCAGACCTCCGAGGAGAGCAAGGGCAGGACGGGAAGGATAGAAGGAAGTTTCAAGACTGCAGGAAACAAGAGCTTGGAGGTCAAGGGAGAGATCAGAGAAAACATGAATCTGATCAGCATCCTTGTGGTCTAGAGTGGAGACGATCTGCGGAGTCAGCCTCAGTAAGGACACAAGTAGTCAGAGAAGAACCAAAGCCTCTAAAGATGAAGCTGAGAAGTATATGGTCGTAGAAGACTAGTGTCTGTTATTCCTAAAAGCTCAAGGAGGTATAAACCACGTAAGATTTAAATGGAGGAACACACGATCTTACCTGCTTTCAGAGGATTTTGGGGTCCCCATTCTCCCATTAGCAGTCAGGCAACTCTCTCTGTCGTCTCCAAAGGGAGGAGTGGAAAGGCTTCAAAAGCCCTAGGAAATAAATGTCCCCTTCACCCAAAATCCAGTGTGTAGCCTGAGGACAGGACTTTCACTGAGAGAAATATGTAGAAGGGGATAGAAGCCAGGCACCCAGGTGGTGGGTGACAGAGGAGAACTTCCTAGCTGGTTTTAGTTAGGGAGGGCATCCTGGGCAAAAGTCAGAATGCAACTTTTCTTTTTTTTAACTCCTTTTAACAAGACGCTGTTGAATTCCTCTTTTGCAGATGTTCTGCCAATTGAATGGAAACTGTCCATAGTGGGGAGCAGAGAGCCTCATCCTGTCTGGAACTGGACATCCATCCTTAAGGCCAGAGTTCTCCCACCACCAACTTTAACTCCTGCCCTAGCCCTCTCTCTTCCTTTTCAAAACCCTCTCCACCCAGGAAGGGAGATTCTGGAGCCAAGACTGTACCAGCCACACCTCCCCAGAGTTGTTAAGCAAGGAACCCGAAGCCAGGGGTGGTCCTCTGGCAATCACCCCCATTACCAATAGCAGGACAGATGTGTTTCTGATGGACTACACTATCCCCGGAGGTCACATGATTCAGGCTGCCAAAGGTACCTGCCCTTGGGAAATCAACTCCTGAAGGTAAATTGGGATTGGGTCCTGAGAAGATCCATGGAAGCCCGGAGGACCCTGCCTCTCTCTGTTGCTTCATGCTGTAGAGGCGGTACTGGGGAGGGCTGCCCACATCCGGTGGGGCAGCTGGGACCATACGTTTGATGACACTCTGCTCCCTCAATGTGGAGCCTCATCCTCATCTCACAGTCCAGCAGGACTGTGGGCTTCTCTCACCCAGTGTGTGAGTGTTTTTGGAAGTGGCCTGATTTTGGAGTTTCCCTCCAAGCCTTTCTCAGGCACATGCTTTCTCTCCCATTCTCTCTTCTTTTATCAATCTTCTTAAGTCTGATTTTCTCCTTTTTCCCTCTGTTGTCTCCATCTTTTTTCCAGTCTCTCACTTCTCTTTCTTTCTCCCCATATTTCACTCTGTTCTCTCACCCCTCCCTTTCCCTTTTGTTTCTCTCCCTCTCTCTCTTCCCACCCCCTGCCTGGCCTTCAATATATCAAGCAAAGTTTTATCACCTTATGCAGGGGCAGCCCTGCCACTGCCATAGAGTTGATAGGCTAATGACATTTTGTGGATATTGCTATGTCACAAGTGCAGGGACAGCATCAAAAACAGCCCTGATGTCTAAACCACTTCAGCTATCTTTTTTTATTTTTTAAATAAATATGTTCACATGATTTTAAGAAACTATAAAAATGTATAAAGTAAAAAAATCTTTCTCTCACACTGTCTCCACCTCTCCTGGTCTCTCCGTTGTGCTTCGAAAGGGGAAACCATTGTGATTAGTTTATTCTATGTCCTTCCAGAGTGTCTTTATGCAAATGAAAATTATTGTGATAATATATTCCTATTTTTCCCCTTACTACACAAAAGGTAGACTACCATAATTCCATTCTGCACTTTCTTTTTTCACTTGATAATAAAAACATGATTTTATTAACGGGTGTTTATGGAGTGATTACCATGTGCTATGTGCCTGCTGGGCACTGTGGAACATACACGGGTAAACAAGACACAATCACTATCCCCATATTCAAGGATCTGAAGACAGTCTAGTGACAAATAACCAACAGGCTCATCCACATTCAGCCATGCTATAGAGGGCTGAATATTTTTAAATAAGTAAAGTCAGCCAGGCATGGTGGCTCATCCCTGTAATCCCAGCACTTTGGGAGGCCAAGGCAGGAGGATCGCTTGTGTCCAGCAGTTCAAGAACAGCCTGGGCAACATAGTGAGACCCTGTCTGCACAAAAAATAAAAAATTAGCTGGGCATGGTGTGGTGGTGTGTGCCTGTAGTTTCAGCTACATGGGAGGCTGAGGTAGGAGGTTTGCTTGAGCCCAGGATGTTGAGACTGCAGTGAGTCATGGTTTGTGCCACTGTATTCCAGCCTGGCTTGACAGAGCGAGACCCTGTCTCAAAAAACTAATAAATAAAATAAGTAAAATCAAGGAACAATGAGAGCACAGAAGAGGAAGGAGATTAAATCCAACCTTGAGGACTCATGATGGGGATGGTGTCTGAGCTGAACTTCGCAGAATGGATGGGATTCTGCACACGCAGAGCTGGGGAAGTGGAGGGTTTCATGTGGTCAGAGACTCAAGGTGAGAAAGTTCTGGCACATGGCATATACAAGGAAGTGAAAGGCAGAAGCCCAGGGGGTTGGAGGAGGATACAGCTGGAGGGGCAGTGTGTGCAGTGGGAAACAGAGAACCGGGATCATCCACCTGGATTTAAGTCCTGGGTCTAATCCTACTAGCTAGTCAGTTCTTCGTCTGTGGAATGGGATAAAAATTATCTCCTGCATTATTAGAGGATTAAATGAGGCAACATCATGAAGACCTCACAATGAAGGACTGCACAGTGTGAGGTATTAAGCCTGAAAAGACAGATAGGAATTTGATCTTATATGGCCCTGGGGGCCATGAATCAGAGCTCAGGTCTTATACTGAAGGTTTTGGAGAAGGGAACAGTGAAGTGTTTGGGATAAAGAAATGACATATAGGACCAAGGAGAGAAGGTGCGGGTGGTAGGACAGGCATTTCATGAAATGCTATAAATCTTATCTCTTGGTTACCAATGAAAGACAACTACACGTCAGATAAACTTTTACTTTATTATAAAAATGATTGATAGTTTCACTTAGGGATGCAATTTCAGTGCGTAGTAACTCTGTAACTGTATGGTGGCATCCTTGGAATATATGATTTATTCACTCCTCATTTATTTATTCATTCAACCAACATTTGTCCAGCACCTACGAACAGTTTGGCACTTGTGCCATACCTTCTATCCTGAAGTCAGTTTACCAGACAACATACCACGAAGGCTGACTAAAGAGGGTCTGCTGAGTTTCATAACTCTCAATCGTACCCCAATGCCTCTTTGGAACATCATGGCAGAGAAAGCAAGATCACATATTTCTCTGACTTCTAGCTCCCTGCGTTTAGAAGAAGTCAACCACGGCAGGGCTGAGGACAACGGAAGAGTCAGGTCCAGAGGATAAAGTCATTGATGTCAACAGTGTGGATCAAGACTGGCCAAGACTGGGTGCAATAGTACACACCTGTAGTTCCAGCTACTCAAGAGGCTGAGGCAGGAGGATTGCTTGAGTGCAGGAGTTCAAGTCTAGCCTGGGCAACATAGTGAGACCCCCATCGAAAGAGAGAAAGAAAGGAAGAAAGAGAGAGGGGAGGGGAGGGGAGGGAGCGGCGGTGCGGATGGCGGGACGGGAAAGGTGCAGCAGGGGGGAGGGGAGGAAGGGGGGGGAGGAAGGAGGGGGGGCCCGGGGCGGGAGGCATGAGGTGGGGGAGGGGATGGGAGGGAGGAGGAGGAGGAAGGAGTGGAAGGAAGGAAGGAAGGAAGGAAGGGGAAGGGAAAAAAGATTAGCCAAACCAAGAGAAGTCCAGGGCAGAACATTTTATTTCAGGTAACTGGGAATTGATGATGTATCATTACTAGGCTCTGTTCTCCCACTGGGGATTCAAGCCAAGTAGAGGAAATGCTTCATTCCCACTTGCCTTTCTGACCAGATTCTCCTGCAGTGATGCAGTTTTCTGCTTTTAGGGAGCTGAGGATATAGATTGAGGTATGGTAGAAACTACAGAGTGAGCCTTATCTGGCTCATTTTTCTTATTATTGAGACGGAGTTTCACTCTTGTTGCCTAGGCTGGAGTGCAATGGTGCAATCTCACTCACTGAAACCTCTGCTTCCCGGGTTCAAGCAATTCTTCTGTCTCAGTCTCCTAAGTAGCTGGGATTACAGGCATGCACCACCACCTCTGGCTAATTTTGTATTTTTAGTAGAGACGAGGTTTCTCCTTGTTGGTCAGGCTGGTCTTGAACTCCTGACCTCAGGTGGTCCGCCCACCTTGGCCTCCCAAAGTGCTGGGATTACAGGCGTGAGCCACCGCGCCTGGCCCATCTGCCTCTTTAATGAGCTGAGGTGGCAGAGATGGCACCCTCAGCCCAGCCACTGGAAAAACCCTTGCCAAGTTGGAGGAAGACCCCTCAGCCCAGAGTCATACTTATACCTAACAGCTGTGCCAAATATGATTCTGGGCCATGGAAACATTCAGAGTAAAAATAGTATATGGGGCATATTGAGATGCTTCCAAGGAAACCTTCTGGGGGACAAATAAAATGTTTTTATTGAGAAAGGGCTTGCATCTATCATCTAAATCATCTCTAAAATGAAACAACAGTCTCCGGTTACTCACACCTGGGTTGAAGGAGCCGCTCCTCTGGGGAATCCCTTGTGGCTTTACACATGAATGGGGAATCCTTTGTTTTTGAGCCATGGCTTACCGTTCAGAGAAAGGGCATTAGGAAGGGAGACAGTTGATTCTTAGGTCCAAAGCCCAGAAAGTAGTTCCGCCTCTAAGGCCGAGTGAGCCCCACCTTTGGCCAAGCTGGGAATGAAGCAACACTGGTTTTATTTTTTTGTTTTTATTTTTACCTTTGTTTTTTTTTGAGACAGCATCTCACTTTGTCACCCAGACTGGAGTGCAGTGGTGCAATTTAGGCTCACTGCAACCTCTGCCTCCCAGGTTCAAGTGATTCTCCTGCCTCGGCCTTCTGAGTAACTGGGATTACAGGTGTGTGCCACCAAGCCTAGCTAATTTTTGTATTTTCAATACAGACAGGGTTCCACCATGTTGGCCACACTGATGGCCAACTCCTGACCTCAAGTGATCCACCCGCCTCTGCCTCCCGTTGGGATTACAGGCACGAGCCATTGTGCCCAGCCCAACGCTGGTTTTGTCACCTGTACACATACGCCACAAGGGCCCCTGACAACCAGGTTTTCAGCTCTCCCAAGCCTCAGACCACGTGGCACCAAACATCTAGATGAAAAATTCAATTAGACACACAGGCACTAGTTTTCTATACGTTACTGAGATATTAAAACAACTGGAAGTTTAGATGAGTTTGTGTTGCTTATCCAAATATTTTATAAAGGGGAGAAGAGGCAGAAGAAAATAATCAGGTAGACTGCCAGGGTAAGGAGGGACAAGAAGAGGGACACAGCATGTGCTCCCCAAATTCCCAGAGGGACAAAACTTTTTAGGGCAGTTTTATTTAACTGCTATAAATTGTCAAAGAACATTAAATCATCCACATTCATTGTGAAACATCTGACATTCCATGGCAACCATGTCAAATGCATGCAGATCATTAAGATAGAAACCAAAACTCATAAAATCATAGATATTTTGCTCTGATGCAGCTGTAAATTATCCTTCAACTTCACCCCTTAGGGGGATCTCTGCCATTGTCATGTCTAAGTAACCAGTTTCCTCAATTCCCATGCTTCCATGCCAAGCATTTTCAATGGGATGTCTACCAACGTGCTAAAAATGCACTTTGTTCAATTGTGTGGCCAATTATTGACCTGGCCATTCATATCATTTGCTTAGATTTCCCTTTTACTGTGCCTAAGCACACCCAGGCCTGTGTGACACGGAAAGTTCACTAACAGTTTGAATAATTCAGCCAGGAAGGTTCCCTGGAAGACCACACTGGTAGAGAAGCTCTATGGAGGCAGAAAACCTGGCTCAATCCTGATAGAGCTCCAGGAACAGTCTCCCCCACGATTCCTCTCCCTCCCATCCAAATTTCTCAGAGCTGCTCTCAAAGCTGCACAGAAAAGATTTGGAGACAAAAGCCAATGAGGGGGCCAGGTGCAGTGGCTCATGCCTGTAATCCTAGCACTTTAGAAGGCTGAGGCTGGTGGATCACTTGAACCCAGGAGTTCAAGACCAGCCTGGGCAACATAGGGAAACCCTACAAAAAATACAAAAAATTAGCTAAGCGTGGTGGTATGCGCCTGTAGTCCCAGCTACTCCAAAGGGGGAGGGGGAGGATCGCTTGAGACTGGGAGTTCAAGGTTGCTGTTGAGTGATGATTGTGCCACTGTATGCCAGCCAGGGCGACTGAGCAATATCCCATCTCAAATAAAATAAAATTAAATTAAAATTAAAGCCTGCCAGGCGCAGCGGCTCACACCCATAATCCTAGCACTTCAGGAGGCCAACACGGGTGGATCACCTGAGGTCAGGAGTTCGAGACCAGCCTGGCCAACGTGGTGAAACCCTGTCTCTACTAAAAATACAAAAGTTAGCCAAGTGTGGTGGTGGGCATCTGTAATCCCAGCTACTCAGGAGTCTGAGGCAGGAGAATCGCTTGAACCCCGGAGGCAGAGGTTGTGGTGAGCTGAGATCATGCCACTTCACTCATGCAAGACTCTGTCTCAAAAAAAAAAACAAAAACAAACAAACAAACAAACAAAAAACAGCAACAACAAAACAAAACAAAACAAAACAAAAAAGCACCAGTGAGGGAAGGCTCCTCTCACCTGCAATAACAAGAAGGAACTGCCTCCAAAATATCCATTTACCCTTTCTGTAAAATGGACATTCTTTCCCTCTCCCTG